GTGTCACACCAGGTGTCACACCGTTGTGCAGAGCACTGGCTGTGCCGCCCCGCACATCCCACCGGAGGGAGCAGCTGGAGCTGACCAGCCCGGGGGTTACTCGGAGGGGAGGTTCTGCTCTGTGGGTCCTGCCCTCTCCTCCCGCTGTGCTGGTGCCAGCAGTGTCCCCACTGCTCCCAGGGGACAGGCCAGCTCCTCCTGGGGTGGCTTGGTCTCTGAGGTGGGTGAAAACATCACACTGCAGGTTTGGCACTGGGAGGCTTCTCCGTGCTCCTGTAAACAATGACTGGAAGGCATGAGGAGAATGTGGAGGGTGAGGGCTCTCACTGGAAAAACTTCATTATATGAGTTTAAAAAGTTGAATTGTACCATTTTCAAGCTTAATTCTTCAGTCCTTTGAGCTCTGCTCAAGTGAAGCTGCTCCAGACTGGCCCCAGGTGACAAGAGCAGGGTTTGGCCCCATGCACATCCCTCACAGGGATGTGGCACCGGTCCACACCAGTTTGAGGCTCCCTGCAGGCATTTTCCTCCCTCAGCGCTCTGCTGGCATCCCTGGGGGAGCTGGTTACACTCCCACACCTCCAGCCTGTCCCAGAGCTCAGCAAAGCTGATCACAGATAAGCCAAAGATCCAGGAAACTCAGGCAGAGAGGGAAGGGAACACTCAGCTGGATGAGGGGTGAACCAGGGATGTGCTCCGTGCCTTTTCCTGCACAATAGTGCAGGATTTGGAGTTTTGGCACTGAAAAGCTGCTATTTGTAGGGGCCAGATGCAAACATGAGGGCCCTTGTGAGGCCAGGGGAGTTTTGTCCTCTCTGGGAGGGCACTTGGAGGACCTTTTCCCCAAGGAACAGGTAGCCAGGATATTCCAAGCCATTGGATTACGATTCTATCTGAAATTCTCTTCCCACATATCACTGCCAAATGCTGATATTTGCCTCCTTCCTTCCCCGGTGGCAGCCTTGTGGATCTGAGTGACCTGGAGAGAAGCAGCTACAGCCACCACAGTTACCTGTCCAGTGCTCCCCTGCACAGGTAGGACAGGGTGGGGCTGCCCTGGGCAGGTTCATCAAATTCTCAATCAGAAATGATTGTAAGGTTTGCTTTTTGAGAACACTGGGGTGTGTTTGTGGAACAGCAGCACAGTAAATGGAAATACAGTGACATGGACACCATGGCCACCAAGGTGACAGAGGGATGGAGCACCTCTCCTGTGAGGAAAGGCTGAGAGAACTGGGGTTGTGCAGCCTGGAGCTGAGAGGCTTTGTGGTAACCTAATCGTGGCCTTCCAGTGCCTGAAGGGAGCCTGCAAGAAAAATGGAAAGGGATTATTTCCAAGGGCCTGGAGTGACAGGGCAAAAGGGAATGCCTTCTCACTGACTGAAGGAAGGGTTAGATGGGATATTGGGAAGAAATTCTCCTTTGGGAGGGTGGGCAGGCCCTGGCACAGGGTGCTCAGAGGAGCTGGGGCTGCCCCTGGATCCCTGGCAGTGCCCAAGGCCAGACTGGACAGGGCTTGGANCTGGCAGTGACTGAGCCCAGTGTGGGGACCCAGAGATTCCCACTGTGCCAGACACTGGCAGTGACTGAGCCCAGTGTGGGGACCCAGAGATTCCCTCTGTGCCAGAACCTGGCAGTGACTGAGCCCAGTGTGGGGACCCAGAGATTCCCACTGTGCCAGAACCTGGCAGTGAGTGTGAACCCAGTGTGGGGACCCAGAGATTCCCTCTGTGCCAGAACCTGGCAGTGACTGAGCCCAGAGATTCCCACTGCCGTGTGCTCAGGGCTTTGTGTCGCCCAGCAGGCCCAGCCCAGATCCCAAAGGGAATGTTTATGGGAGCAGCAGCCCCAGGAGCAGCTGGTATGACAGTGCCAGGGGGCTCGGGGACTTCAGCCCCCCTGCAGGACGGTGAGTGCAGGGCTGGGATCCCTTCCCCAGCCAGGGACCTCCCCCTGCCACTCCCCTCAGTGTCCGTTTGTCCTCAGTGTCCCCCTGTCCTGATCCGTTGCTCATTCCCTGGCTGTCAGCAGGGGTGGGGTGTGCCCTGGGAGGGGTCAGTGCCCAGCAGGGAGATTCCAGCCCTGCTCCCACCCTCTGTGAGGATCCCTCAGGTGCCCAAACTGAGCTTGAGACTGTTGCCCTTCCTCTCCCCAGCCATGACTCCTTTCCCAGAGATCCCACCATGTCCATGCCCCAGAGAAGCCACAGGGTGCCGTTCTACATGGACAGCTTAAACTCTAACAGCTCCAGGTAAATGGGGAGTCACGAGGGAAATTCCCCAGGAATTTATGACATTGGAGCCAGCAGGCAGAGCCAAGAGCTGAGAGAGGGAGGATTGGTTTCCAGGGAGTGGATGTGTGATCAGACCAGCTCTTAAAGCATTCCTAGCTAAAGCTGCCTAGCAGAGTGTCTGAGATACATCCAGAAAAATCCCTGGAGATTTTTCACTGTGTGGGAGGCCAGAAGAGAGGGACAGGAGAATGGGGAGCTGGTTCCTGGCCAGGAACTGGCCTTTGCTACAGGAAAACAGAGATCACAGCAAAGAGAGAGGGCCACTGTCCCCAGAATGTCAATGGTTAAATGCCAGAACTGCTCCCAGAACCAGGCTGTTGGAAGGGGCAGGAGGTATCCAGTATGGAATCCCATCATCCTGGGCCCCTCCTGGCAGTCCCTCCTGGCAGTGCCAGCCCACCCATGAGCTGTCAGGTTCTCCATGCAGCCCCCACTGCCAGGCAGAGGGATCTGTCACAAGGAGGGGTTGTGGGGGTCAAGGGGAGGCACAAGATCCTTGGATTGGCTCAGCCTCACTCCAGTCTCATTGCTGAGGGGATGGGCAGAGCTGTTTTCCACAGTTTTGTTGCATTCTTCCTTCAAATTACTGAGCTGGGGACAGTCCCATTGGCCCTGGGAAGGTTCCCATCTCCTGCAGTTCCTCCTGTGCCCTTTCTCCCCCGGGCTGCTCCCAGTCAGGCTCCACTCACTCAGCCCATCCTCTTTGGAAGATCCAATGAGATCTTCTGCCTCACCCTACAAGTGAGACATCCCCAGATCCCTTCTCCAGGACAGGATCTCTGTCCTGTGGCAGCTGTAGAAGGAGAAAGGGGTTGGTTTGGTCCATGACAAGGCCTGGCCAAGGGCTGTGCTGTCCATCTGCCCTCCCAGCAGTGGCAGCCGCTCTCCTGGCGGCCAGTTTGGATCCTGCCATGGCTCACAGAGTTTTCCCTCTCTCCACAGGCTCCTCTCCAGCTCCAGTGAGAGGCTCTGCAGCTCCCACCACAGCTCTGGGTACCAGCCTGACTCCAGCTCTGCGGGGTAAACAGCTGAGGAGGGCACAATCCCCTCACTGCAGGGTGGGGCCATCCTGCCTGGGAGGAATTGCAGCGTTGGCACCTGGCTGGTGCCACCCACTGTGCCCAGCAGGGTCAGGACAGTGATTGTCCCCCTGCTGGGCACTGCTGAGGTCCCACTTGGAATCCAGGGGGCAAGGCAGACCCTGAGGGGCTGGAGCATATCCAGGAGCTGGGGAAGGGGATTGGAGCCCCAGGAATGTCTGAGGGA